GGTTTCCATCTAAGCAAGGGTTGGCAGACTTTTTCTGAAAAGAGCCAGAGAGGCCCGTGTTGCTGCCCTGTCTCGTTAACAAAGAAAGTGGCCACGGACAACACATGAAAGATGTGGTTATGTTCAGGGGAAACTTTATTTATAAAATCAGACATACGGTTCAGCTTGCCAGTGCCAGTCTTGAGTTTAATTGTGTTAGGTGTTTTAAGATGATCTTACTATGTAGCCCAGGCTGGCCTCCTAACTTTTTTTTTAAGTTTTTTTTTTTAATATTTATTTATTTGTTATGTATACAATATTCTGTCTGTGTGTATGTCTGCAGGCCAGAAGAGGGCACCAGACCTCATTACAGATGGTTGTGAGCCACCATGTGGTTGCCGGGAATTGAACTCAGGACCTTTGGAAGAGCAGGCAATGCTCTTAACCACTGAGCCATCTCTCCAGCCCCCTGGCCTCCTAACTTTTGAGGCCCATGTTGCCCTTGAATTTAAGATCCTCCTTGCCCCAGTTTTAGGAGTGCCACCACACCTGGCACTAGATGTATTTTTCTCTTACTACTTGCCATACTCCTGGAAGTCTCCCTGGCAAGTGTTGCCATCTAATCAGAGAAAGAATATAAGCCGATTTTAATACTAGCCCGAGGAAAGCAGAAATATTAGAGAATGAGTTAATAAGTGAAACACAGCAGACTGTTTTAGTATCCTGATTATCCTCTCAGCTAATCGTCTTAATTAGCAAAGATCACAATGTAAAACCCGAGGCTTAATTTATATTCATTCAACGTCAGTGGCACCCTGGAACTAATTCCTGGCAATTCTCACAGCTTCTTTATAGCCCGTAGATAGCACTTTTCATGATTAAAGAGAGAACTTTGTTTCTGTAGAGCCTATCAATTGACCAATGACTAAGTAGTTAATGACTTTATTTTCTCTTGCCTAGTTCGGCATTGAGGATCTCAAAGCACAGCCCAAGCAGACAGCTTGCTGGGATGGTGTTCGCAACTATCAGGTATGGAGACAAGGACAGGAACCCTGAAACCCAAACTAGGACGGATGTCTGCCTCCTCCACTGTGTTCTTCAGCAGCAAGGTCGGAACCAACACTGCTTTTCTCTGAACGCTATTCTGAAAATGCCTTCAGAAATATCATAATCACCATGACAGCATGCAGTCTGCTCAAGTGGCTTGCTTCTGGCTAGTGTCCTGGACTAAGGCCAGGATTTCTTACAAATCTGAGAGAAGCGCAAAACAGGAAAAGACATCTAATAAAAACAGACTTGATTTCTTTCCAGCTATAGGAGGGTAATTCTTGTTTCTTTTCCTCTGACATAGGCTCGGAACTTCCTCAGGGCCATGAAGTTGGAGGAAGAAGCTTTCTTCTACCATAGCAACTGTAAACAGCCAGGCATCGTGGGACTTATGAAGGTTAGGTGCACACATTTTAGCCGGGATTCCTCCAGGGACTTACTCATGTAAAGCCTTACAGTTTGAATAGGTAGTAACTAAAGTATGCCCCCTCAAAGACACACACTTCCTGTCACAGAAAATAGGAAAACTGCCCTGACCATCACCTGAATAGGAAGGACTTTGTTTCAGGCCCTGCTAATACTTCTCACTATCTGAGGTTCTATCAGGTAACTCCTCTTTGCTAAGAGTTTCAGGATAACACTATGTGTTTCCAAGTAACTTTTAGCATTTAGTTTTAGAACATGCTTGTGAGACTTTGTAAAAACAGGATTTCGTTTCTAACTATGCTTGCATAGGCTATCTTTTATTTCCAGAAGTCTGCATATCAACTGTCTCTATAGCAAGGGAGATGGGTCAGAATATAAAGGAAGGGTAAGAAGTCAAAGTGAGATGCATATTAAAACTTGAACAGGAAGTTAATGATTGGCGATTTTGGATTTGCTTTCAGATCGTAAAGGAGGCTTACCCAGACCACACACAGTTTGAAAAAAATAATCCCCATTACGACCCATCCAGCAAAGAGGACAACCCTAAATGGTCAATGGTATTAACTGTACTTCCTGTTTCACAGGGGGAGAATGGACAAAGGCGGGAAAATATGGGTACTGTTAGGTCAAGGAGCACAGCCCAGCTTCTCACTTAGATGAAGTTTTGTTGAATTGGGGTATTAGAGTAGAACACTAACACCAGGCACCTCCTGCAAACAGCAGAAATTCTGGGTGGACACAGAAGCAAACGCCTGTATTCTTAGCCACTCAGTCGGCTGAGGCTGGAATTGATTCAGCCGAGGAAGTCAAGGACTGACTAGGCAACACGGTGAGATCCAGTCTGGCTGGACATGTTTCTGCCCCTCAATGCTGTCCAATAGGTGGATGTACAATTCTTTCGAATGATGAAACGTTTCATCCCCCTGGAGGAGCTGAAAGCCCATCACCATGCCCACAAAGCTTCTGGTGGCCCCTTAAAAAGCATGACTCTCTTCACTCGCCAGAGACTGTCAGTTCAGCCTGTGACCCCAGGTAAGATCTAAACGTGGAGACAGTATTAAAGGTCTCTGGGCCAGAGTCCTCACCTGTGTCACCCATGAGGAAGCTATGTGCTCAGCTGCTCTTTGGTGTAGACCCAGTACCCTGAGATAGTCCAGTTTCTGAGTGGACAACTGCCCACTCCAGGCACTGTGGCTCCTCATGAGCTCCTTCCTCTGCAGGAGGAGACACAACACCTCCCCCACCCCGCCTTTTTTTTTTTTTTTTTTGTAGAAGAGTTTGATTTTATTTTGAGCCTGGAGGAAACAGAACCAAGTTAGTGAAGACTCTGCTGATGGAATGAACAAGCCAATGATCCACAAAGTCAAGATTCTATAAGGCAAAAGAAGAAAGCTTGCAGTGTTTACCTGGGGTCGTGTGCACAGGTGGTTTGTTCGTGTTTACCAATAAAAGATATTTCATGACAAGGCTGAAAGCTTTTCCTTCTAAATCTGTGTTGGGTGTGGTGGAATCCTTCACTGTAGATGTCTTACATCCAAGCCTGGTTCCTTTTGCCAAATGGAAGATGTGAGCACCTATACTATCATCTGCCCCTGCCACTGAAGTTATATAGCAAATAGCAGAGTGCAGGACTGAGTCCTTTGGTCTTTGAACACTCAGCGAACCTAAGGCTTGAAGTTGAAAATATAAATGCTTTTGGGTAAGTGGCCAGACCTGGACTTACTGAGTCATGCTTGCCTGAAATGGGTGGTTAATACGGTACTCATTATTGTTTACCATCCACTGAAAAAGGAGGCAAGTGTCGAAGTCATGAAGCTTCGTTCCCAGTGTGTCAGACATGAGGCGGTGGTAAGGAAAACAGCACAGGATCTGGTGGGTCATGGGCACGATGCCTCCAAAGCCACAGGGCTTCCTTTAATTAGAGACACCATTAAAACAAATGTTCTTTTAAAATACAGCCATTGAAAAGACAACACATTAAGAAACATGTAAACACTGCAGTTTCTTAATTACAAGTTGCACTGCTTGGTTTAGTACCTATGCACTCCAGGTTTGGGAACCTCACGGGATGGGGATAGGAGCCTCCCACACTTTCACAGTTGGCAGAAAAGAAAATGGGAGCAGTCAAAGAAAGCAAGACCTGGCTTGCGCACAGCTCCTGAGAGAAACAGCATATTCTACCGTCTAGTTCTCTCAGAAGAAAGACTTAAGATGTTAGCAAAGTTGGAAAATGGATTTGTGTTGTCAGCTGGGAGGCAGAGAAATTGACAGATACTTTTAATTAGCTATTAGAAGGAGGCACAGCAGAGTCTAGTCTCACACCCTGAAAAGGACAGGAGCACAGAACCTGCCTCCTTCATATGCTAGGGCCCAGCTTTGATACCCAAGGGCAGCTGAGCGAGTGAACCTCTTCCCATGGGGACTGTATGTCACACCTAAACTTGGGGTCTGTCATGGGGAAAAATTTACTTAGCTCTGCTACCCCCAGTCACCCCAAGCGCCTTTCATCTGAACTTTGACCCATCGGCCCTGCCCTGTCAAAGCCTAAGGTTGCACTGACTTCTGAGGACAAGACCCCGTTTTCTACAGTAACTGAAAGACAACATAGGAACAAATCCTTTACTTCCCAGATTACCAAGAACACAGCAAATACCGTACTTGTTGAACATCAGTTCCACTTGATCTTTCTGTAGCGGGGAGGGCAGCCAATGGAAGATAATTCCTGGTCATTCCCAGAAAAGGCAGAGAAGACAGTCAACCCCTTTACTACTGGCAGGCCCTAACACAGTAGGAGGAAGCACTGCCTCTTCTCTACTGTAACAAAACCCACCAGCGTTTTCCTATTGTGTTTTTAAATTACAAAAACAAAAACCAAATAGTGGTCCTAAACTTGAGTCGGTGAACTGGTAAAGATAAGGACATAATTTGGCAAGCAGAATTATTCTGAAGTTGTGACAATCTTCTACAGAGGCCCTTCCTCCCTTAATGTGTAGACAGTGGAAAGAGAGGGGTTGGGGTGGAGGAGGCAAGGACAAAACTTTAAGTGTCTGAATCCAAGCTTAATTCCAGAAATCAAGTAGAGGACAAGGAGTAACGACAAATCAGGTTTAGGGAGGCAAATGGATCTCAGCCTCTTCTAAGGATCTAAACTAAAGGAAACAGACCCTCTGCTTAGGGCTTATGGTAACTTAAAATAATTCCCTAGAACAACCCAGTCCTTGGGTTGCCACGTGGAGTCATGTGGTGAAGGCAGACAGTTGTCTTGCCTGATGTTTCCCCCAGGAGACCTAGTTCAGCCTCCTGGCCATCCCTGTATGACAGTCTCAGGACTTTTCCATACCCGGATTTCTCACAAGTGAGGACAGTCAGCTCAGACCCTTCCTTAGGCTCTGCTCCTGTGTGGTTCCTGACAAGCTATAGAAAATGGAGAAGAAACGTGTCTGGTCCCAGTAGTGAGGAGCCAGAGGTGACTGGAAACTTCAGAGCACCACGTCCCAGATGCCCAGAGAGGTAGCGTCCCAATCTTGAGTCTTCTTCAACTTAGATGAGACAGGCCCAACAACTTCTGCCACTACCTCAGGAACCGTCGAAGGGTGTGTAAGACACGACTACCCAGAGCTCTGCTGGCGGGTGAATGCCAGGGATGCGCTCAGCTTCTGTCTCAGGAAGCCCAGAGAACCTGGAGCCAAGGATGTGTGCTCTCAACTCTGCTTTACAGCCTGAGATAGCCTTGACAGCTCTCATTCCCAAGGGAGAGACCAGATTCCAGAATGGTTCCTCTCCCTATCCCTACCTAGGCTGCAGAATCCCAGGGACACTGCTGCCCAACCCAAGCCCCTTAGGTTCTTCAGAGAAAAGAATTTAAGTAAAAAACATGATTTGTTTTCAAGGTTGCAAGAAACGGTCAGTGGAGCCTCACACCGTCCTCCCCCTCCCCCAGTCGCTGGTGTTTGGTAGATGGGGGTGCCGCAGTGGAAGCCGGGCAGCTTCTTGGCCCCGGGGGCCTACTGCCTGCTGTTGTTGTCAGACAGTGGGCCAGGGGTCCGCACCTCACCCAGGGAGCTTGTGCCCTCGAAGCGCTGTGAGGCAATGGCTGCCTGGTGGGACATGCTCTTCCGTACAATGTCACCCTTCCGCCACAACACCACCTCCTGCAGGGTTGGAAAAAAGTCAATAAGGTATTTGAGAAAGGCTCAGGGATGCTTTTCTCAGGAGTTCCCACCTTGGTCCCAGGGGATCTCCAGGAATAACCTCCTTGACCTCCTTGGCTCATCTCTCACCAAAGTGGTGGCTCCTAAGACTGATGTGCTCTGGCAGGAGCCACAAAAGCGGGAGTTAGGCCTGAGAAAGCAGACCCCAGGTATCAGTTGGGTCTCCTGCAATTCTATGTTTCTACCTCTTGGTCAAATAACAAGTGATAGAGGCTTGACTATTTTTTTTTTTTTTTTTTTTTTAGCATTTTGCTTTAAAAGTTAAGACGGCCCTCTGTGGGAATGGTCACCTCTCTGCTCTGTGCCCAAAGGGACCCAGGGTCCTGGAGGAGGCACACACCTGCTGCTTGAAGTAGCGCCGTTCCTCCTCATCTATCAGCACCAAGTTGAGGTAATAGCGCACAGAGAACTTCTTGTTTATGTCCCGCATGGTGGGCGTGAGCTCATATCCTGCCAGGAAGAGCCTGATGGGGATGGACTCACCTGTAAGGGGTGAGGCAAAAGTGAGGTCAAAGGACACAGGAGGCACTGTTGTACAGCCTAACGCCATTCTGCCTGCAGCAGGGTCAGGTGCCCGCTGGGCAAGGCAAGGAACACTAAGCAAAGGCTCTGCCTTTAGAGATATTACACCCTGCTCCCAGCAGTTCCCTGAAACAAATGTGATTTTCCAGATCCAGTCCGGTCTGTGGCTTCTGAATGGTCTATTACCCTCCCATTGCAGAAGGCAGTGAGGAACAGGGACTGAACAGCACAGGGGAACTAGTAGGTACCACTGCTGTGTGCAATGTGCCTTATTGGTGGGGGTTTCCCCCCATATTTACTTGAAACATGGTCTCTATATAGTTCTGGCTGGCCTAGGGGTCCTGCACGGGACCATGTCCGGCCCACTCATCCTAGGGCCTGCACAGGACCACGTCCAGCCCACTCATCCTAGGGCCTGCACAGGACCACGTCCAGCCCACTCATCCTAGGGGTCCTGTGCAGGACACTTCCAGTCCACTCATCCTAGGGCCTGCACAGGACCACGTCCAGCCCACTCATCCTAGGGCCTGTGCGGGACCACGCCCAGCCCACTCATCCTAGGGGCCCTGTAAGGACCATGTTCAGCCCACTCATCCTGGGCCCTGTGCAGGACCTCGTCCAGCCCACTCATCCTAGGGGTCCTGTGCAGGACCACATCCAGCCTGCTCATCCTAGGCCCTGTACAGGACCACGTCCAGCCCACTCATCCTAGGCCCTGTGCAGGACCACGTCCATTGGTTTCTGGTGTTGTCTGAAGCCTGTACTGTGGGTCAACGATGCAAGTAGTTCGCTTTCATGACAGGCGAATGAACTGGAGTGAAACATCTTACTGTAGCTAAAACTAAGCAGTGACAATGACTAGAGCACATGATGGATCTCTCTCTGTAGAAAACATGCCAGAATGTCAAGAGGAAAAAGGAATTACAGTCATACTGTATCTTAAAGCAGTTTCCAAACTTTTTTTTTTTTTTTGGATAACTTTCAACCCTAATCCTCCTGCCTCTACCAACCAAAGTGTGGGATAACACACGTGTGCAAGCAGGCCAGTTGAGACAGAATCTTAAGTATAATCAATATATAAATAAGGTCAACGTGGGGCTGTTGTGGCTGAGGCTGGGGATGGAGGCTGAAGTCAAAGGCTCAGCTTTGTCCTCCCTTCCATTTCAGTGCTGGGGACTCCCATGAGTTTCAGACCAGCTTGGGTTACACAGTGAGACCTTGTCTTTAAAAAAAAAAAAAATTTACTTCAATAGTATCATCATTTGAACCCTTCCCAAATTCTGAAATTCTGCACGTGGCTTGGAAGCAAATCGTGGCAGTGGCCCTGAGCTAGGAGGCTCACCTCGGACTGGAGCCCCGTCCATGATCTCATACTTGGCTATTGTGTCGTTCTCGTGGTACACATTGGGACCCGTGCCTGTCGTTTCCCGTTTGATGATGTCTATCTCCATGTGCTTGATTTTGATTCTCACCAGCAGGAAGTATATCTTCCCTACAATGACATCTTTCAAGTGGTATCTGAAGAAGAGAAAAAGGAAGTGAGACAGATGATGGGTGCGGCAGCTAGCCCCTTCGTGTGCCAGCATAGGTTATACTGTCAGTGAGAGGTGTTTATGCTCAACCTCGCTATTTGAACCGTTTCCTGCTATGTTCTTTAGTGGAATCTGTGTGACTTCCTCTCTTCTACATCCTGCTCAAAGGAGGATACATGTTATTTCAACCATTAATATTTGTTTATCAGCTCCATTTCCACAGGATATACCTTTAGTATGTTTTAATGGATGTTTTTCTAATGTATTAGGCCAGTCTCACAAACCTAGGAATTAATTTTCGCCTTTCCACTTTATTCTCCATACAATGTCTGTAGGGAACTGGGCCTTAACGGTTCCCAGTGAATAGTTCCATCTGCTCCAGGCTAGACAGCCCAGGCTGCATGGCTGATACTCTGTGAGCTACTAGGGATTTAGCAACGTTGCATGGCTCACTCTTTCTTTCTTTTCTTTATCTCCCCCCCCTTTCTTTTTTTAGTTTTTCGAGACAGGGTTTCACTCTGTAGACTAGGATGGCCGCGCCAACTCACAGAGATCTGCCTGCCTCTTTCTCCTAAGTGCAGAGATTAAAGGTGTGCGCCACCACCACCCTACACTAACACTGTCTCTTCTCTCTGTGGGCCAGCCAATGGTGCTGGTAGTCTCTGTATATACCTCCCTGTATCATGTGTGCTAGAAAGACAGCACACTCTCCAAACCTAGGCTCACACTCATGGCACGTGATCCCTAGCAGAGATGTCAGAGTTGGGTCTCCTTAACATGGCAGGCGGGAAAAAAAGAAGCTGGAAGAGAGAGACTAGGTCATGCTCTGGATGAGAGAAGGTTCAGACAGGCGATTGCTAGCTCCCAGACTTAGTGCTCCCCACTGTTTCTGACACTGTTGTTTACAGTCTACTGGGAGAGCTGCAGACATTGAGTGGGTAGCCTGCATACCTGCAGACGCAGCAGGTCACCTGCAGCATTTCTCAGGGATACTTACGGACCATGCATGGATGCTAAGGTTTTCTATATTATATGAAATCTTACACAGGGGCGCAACCACGTAAGAATCATACTTCATGTTCCTATATGGTACAATCTGTTGTACAAGCAGAGGGGAAGACTAGGCGTCTATTCCTGCCTGCATGTAACCTACTCTAAAACACTTTTTATTCCAAGAGCTGATGACTAGTGCCCGCTTCAGGCTCTGTGGTAGCACCCCTGGTGGTTGCTGCCTTCAGAGGGGTGGAGAGGGGTTAGTGGAAAGGACCACAATGAGTAAGAAGACTGGGGGGGGGGGGGGGGAGTGAGGCAAGAAGAAGCTCCTTCCTAGCACCTGTCCAACAGGTGGGCCAGGCCAAGGAGGTTCTAGGTTACAGTGGTCATTTTATTGGGTAAGGGGGCATCACTAGGTTCCAATTCAGGGAGCAGAAGAACAAGTAAGTTGGTTCTCATAATCAAGTATGTTCCTAGTTTAAAAACTGGCCCCATTAGACACAGCGACACATGCCTGTAATCTCAGCACTTATGAAGTAGAAATAGGATCACTCGTATGAGGCCAGCCCGGTCCACATAGTTGAGTTACCTCACCTCTCTTCCTAAGCCCTCTGTAGGCAAATCGTCTCTCCTCAATTCCTAGTCTCTGCTTGGCAGTGGGCCTGAGGGACGGCGACTACAGTAAAAAAGGTAATCAAAGACATGAGTAGATGATCCAGATACTTTCAGGAATAGACTATATTCAAAAGAAAGATACAAGACTGCAGACAGTTCTGTGGCTTGTAAGCAATTAAACACTGTGATGATCTCAGAGTAAACAATTGAAAACGCAGCTTCCCCACTAGCCAGGTAAGGTTATTTTAAGACCTTCAGAAAAATGCATCAGGTGCCGGGTGGTGATGGTGCACGCCATTAATCCCAGCACTCAGGAGGCAGAGGCAGGTAGATCTCTGTGAGTTCGAGTGAGACCAACCTGGTCTACAGTGTGAATTCCAGGACCGAGAAACCCTGTCTTGAGAAACCAAAAAAAAAAAAAAAAAAAAAAAAAAACAAAGCATCAGGTATTTGCCCTGTAACTCATTTTGGTTCAGGGAGGAAGCAGCCCATTGCCGGTACATGGCTTCCTCACTTTGATTTCTAAGGCAGGGAGGAAACAAATGATAGTGGCATTGTGTTCTACAATTATTCTCACGCATGGAAGGAAGCAGCTTTACCTAGGATCCAAAACAAACAACCTAAAAGCTAGCTAAGCTTGACTTTAAAAGGCACCTTAATGTTTAAATATGTGACCTTAAATAATTTAATATTGTTCAACAACAATAAAGATTCCATTTCCTCGCCTGTCTACCTATAACTAGCCTAGCACATATGTCTACTGTATTACTCTCATAGTCTCCCCCTGCACTTTGTCACCATGAAGCTGTGGAGTCATAAGGCTGTCAGTCAGTACACACTCAACAAGATCTCTCTTTACCTCCATAAATGATTACCACATGAGCTTGGGGCTCAGGATACTCACTTGGATTTGTTATACTCAAATTCAATGTGCAGGCAGTCCTCGATCCCAACTTCCATCTTGATGGATGAGTTCAGCTCGGGGTACGTGCTAAGGGTGTGAACTACAATGTCCATCTCTTTGACGACATCATTGAGGCGGCGGCTGATGGTTGCTCGGAGGAAATAGCTGTTAAGAGAAGGAGCCATCCTAAGTGAATACTTCCAGTCTTTAGATGCTACACAGCCCTGGGAGAGCCCTACAGTAATGTTTAACCCTCCGAGGCTTACTATCCCTTTGAGAATTTATGGGTCCTTTTCTCAGAAAAAGTATACCCAGGCACCTATACACAGACTTCTGCAGTTACCATTGAGGAAGAGCAGAGCCTTCCTTTAAAACCCTCTTGGGAGCTCATGACAATGAATTAAGAACCTTGTCTTAGCAGAAGTGATTTCTCTGCCTTCTACACCAACGGCCCTACCACTATCTACCATCTGTGAGGAAGGTTTGTTTCCTTGCCTACCTCCTGGCTATTTGAGCATAGATATCTGGCCTATACACTTATATTTATATGCCTGTCCACTAAATAGTATCTGATAAATACAAGTGAGGAATAGGAAACGGAGAAATCAAACCAAGTCTTCATTTCCGCAGTCTTTCTTAGCCAACCCTGTGCTAGGCAGAGGATAAGGACAATACACTCTCAAGAGGGGCTCACAATCTGGAGGGAGATGAACAAACAAACAGGAAAATCAAGACTGGCAAAGGGTAATTCAGAAACTACAATCCAGCTTTATGAGAACAAAGAGACCCCAAGAACAAACCAACATGTAATAATACAGCAAAGCAGCACCGAAATCAGTAGCTTAACTGGCGGCGGCAGCTGCACGGCAGGGCACGGGTCTGGAAGAAGATACATAAGTGGACCCTAAGGGTCTAACAGCCACTCGGCACGGTCCAGCAAAATCCCAGTTTCCTGCTGTAAAACTACGCTAACACCCACAAGAGAAGAAAACTACCCTTAGCTATGATTTCTTCTGAGTAATCCTCTGATAACCCAAGTACCCGTTAAACATTCCAGAAAATTAACAGACATGCTGGCCACATCAGCTACAGGCTACAGGCGACCAGCTCTGTGGCACCGACCGCTTCTAAGCAGTCCTTATATTTCCCTCAGTAACTTCCATCACAGCCGCACAAGACATTTGTCCCTAACTAACCCCTTTCTAATTGCTCAGGTCTTAAATCCATTCCACTATCTGTGGAAGAATGGTTTTATTCTAATGAAGATTTTCAAGTCAAGGTTTATAATTCTTTTCTGCTTTTTACTGTTTTTATTTAGGGCCTAAATACGTCCCTGCCCTTCACAGACTTCCTTCACTAGCAACCCACCCTACCCCGAAAAAGAAAAATTGCCTTTCCCTTCACAACTGGGGGGGGGGGGAGAGGACTGAAAACTTCCGGCAGTATGTTTTGCTGTTGTTGGGTTTTTTTTCTTTTTTTTTTTTTTTTTTTTGGTTTTTCGAGACAGGGTTTCTCTGTGGCTTTGGAGCCTGTCCTGGAACTAGCTCTTGTAGACCAGGCTGGTCTCGAACTCACAGAGATCCGCCTGCCTCTGCCTCCCAAGTGCTGGGATTAAAGGCGTGCGCGCCATCGCCCGGCTGTTGTTGGGTTTTTTGAGACAGGGTTTCACTATGTAACTCTGGGTGACCTACAACTTGCTAAGTATACCAGGCTGGTCTCAAACACAAAGATCCATCTGCCTTTGTTTTGCAGTTTTTCAAATGCAAGCATCACCATGCCTGACTGATTGTATGGGGGGCGGGGGGTCTTCACTATTAGTCTTGCCCAGCCCAGCCCAGAACTCACAGAGATCACCTGTGGTTTCCTCTCATGGTAGGATTAAAGGCATGTGCCACCATGACTGGCTGCTTTCTCTTTTTATAATCGTGTGAATACTGCTGTGGTCACAGGTGTTAGATTATCTGTTCCAGACTCTGTGTCCAAATATTCCAGATCTACAACTTAAGTGGAATTGTTGGATCACACAGTGACTCTGTTTAAATGTGTGTGTGTTGCTGGGGACTGAGCCCAGTACCTTGCAAAGTCTTCAAGTATGTGCCTTTCTGCTTTACACAGAGTTATGTGTTCAGCCCTCTATTCATTTATCTTTGAGGAGCCACCCTGCTGTTTTCAATACCTTTCTTCTTGACATAAAAACACTAAGGCAAAAGCTACAGAGAAATCCTGTCTTGAAAAACCAAAAACCAAACAAACAAAAACCACTAAGGCAAATCCACTGGACTATGGGGTGGGAATTACCAAGCATGGTGGCACACATGTGTAATCCCACCACTTAGGAGGTTGAGGCAGAAGGATTGAGAGTTTGAGGTCAGTCTAGGCTATATAACAAGACCTGTATCAATAATTTTTTTTTTAACAATTCCCATAGCCAAGCTAAGTGATTGCTAGATAATCCTCACTGGTGTTTTCTCCAGAGTGATAAGACAAATCACTGTCTTTAGCAGGGATTTAGATGCAAATATTTCAAGAGTCTATGAACAAGTGTTCTGATGGAGGGAAGGAACCACGAGAAAGAGAGGGAGATGTTCTAGCTGTAATCCTCACCATCCTAAGCCCCGGCCTGTAGGGGATAGAAACAAGCAGATCCTGTGAGATGGGATCAAGACTTGGGATCCTCTGATCCTCTGGAGTGACAGGACATTCTGCTTTATCCCAGCGATGTCCCATAATCTAAGGTTTGCATCTAAGAATCTAGAGCTGCTGTGATTTTTTTTTTAACCTCAGAGACCCAGGCATCAGTTTCCTTCCTCAGAGTTTCCCAGACGGTAGTAGTAAGAATATCCTCAGGTATGTATGTCTGTGCCCATTCATCTCTTTGTTTGTGATCCCTGGGATGGGTCCAAGACCCCTGTATATGCTAGGCAATACTGTGCCCGAAGCCAAATGCTTGTGTCCAGTTTTTAAAGACTGTGTTCCGCTCCTGCATTGTTTTCTTATCTCTTCCAAAAGATAGAGAGGAGAGACCTAGAATTAGAACCCTAAACTAGTATCCATTTTTGAAAGACAAAGCTTTAAGTTACAGAGTCCAAAATGATGTGATGTTGTACGGCAGAGCTGAATGAGGAAGGGGTCAGCAACTCCGGAAGCCAAGCTGAGGTGTCTATCTGGGGCCACCTCCGTTATGAAAGCCAATTACTGAATTTTCCAGAAGTTTAAGAAATGATTGTTAAATGGCTATCGTTGATATTATATAAACTTACAATTAGATGAATTACCTAAGAAACAAGGGCAATCCATATTAAAATCCCTTTGCTTCCTAATCATTTTCCTGCACTCTTTGAGGCCCCTGGTCAGGAGGGGACTCTGTGACAGCAGTGAAGCTGCCAATGTGGTGACAGATGGCCCAGGCCGTCCAATCAGAAGGCTTTCTTCCAGGATGTGCAATGGTGACATTTACTAGCACCCTGGTGCTTGCAGTCCTCTTCCTTCTTAGCACCCACGAAGCCCCAGGCCCTGTCCTGGTGGGGCAGGTTCAGGACTACGACAAAAACATCAGAGACCACTTACCGTAGCTTCACATTCTGCCCTGTGTAGGACTCATACGGCTTTTCCACGTGAGTAAACTCAAAGTCGAAGGCTTGTGATTGGGTGATCTCTCCCGGCCGAGCCAAGTCCTTCACCAAGGACACAAACTCATGGTGGTTCCCACGGTCATAGTAGAGTTCTGGAAAGAGAACAAAGCTTACTCTAGCCTACTTGACTACACTGAACCTAGTGAGGGCATCACAGGTCGGAGGGATCAGTCTTTTCGAGACTTTTGGCCTTGTTTTAGGGCTTCTTCTCCTTCCCTGACCCCAGCCTCTCCATTGATTTTCCCAGACACATGCCTTTCCAAAGACATGTCCTTTCTGGTTTGTTTGTTTGAGACAGGGTCTTACTATGTTACCTAGATTGGCCACTAGTTCTTGGGCATAAATAATTCTTCTACCACAGTCTCAAATAGCTAGAAAAATAGGTGTGCATCACCATGCCTAGCTGACTCTTCCCAGTCACACAGTAAGAATTTATGACACACACACACACACACACACAAGGCCAGTGTGATGGAGATAACTGAGCAGTTAAGAGCACTTTGTTGCTCTTGCAGAGGAGTTGGGTTCAATTCTCAACACCTACACGGTAGCATACAACCACATGTAACTCCAGTTCCAGGGGATCCAGTGCCTTCTTCTAACCTCCATGGGCACCAGGCATGCACATGGCACACACACACACACACACACACACACACACAGAGAGACACAGACACACACATAGGCAAAACACTCATATACATAAAATAAAGAAACCTTAAAAAAGCAAATAAAAGCCAATGTGGTCTCCAGGCCATTGCTTCTGTTAGCAATCTACGGTCTGTGCGCCTATAAAGGGTAAGGGGATTCTAAGATGGTTAGAATAGATTCGGTGAGCAGTTTTCAGCATGTATGAAGAGACTTGATATAAAAAAAGAGAGAGAGAGAGAGAGAGAGAGCACCTTTCCAATATTCTTGACTTTTGCAGGAAATTTATGGCTACTTTATTATATCTTCCTTCGATAATCCTGCAAGATGGATAGGTCAGGCTTCTTGTTCTATAGTTCAGCCTGGTCCAGAATTCATTAGGTAGCAGAGGCTAGCCTCAAACTCATGGCAATCCTTCTGGCTCCCAAATCCTGGGACTATAGATGTGCGCTCATACCCACCTGGCGTTTCACCATGAAAAGTTCATGTTATCACCAGACCCATGATTATTTGATGACTTTGTATTTTGCAATTTAAGGATTAAGTTTTGAGATATCCATGGTCTTCTTTACTCCTTTGGACTGAAGGAGCTTTAAGATGAGACCCATAGCTCCAGCTTCCTGGCCCCAAGATGTCAGCTCTTAGCTCTGCCTGTGATGATGACCAAATGCTAGCTCAAGCCTCATCTCTCAAATATTCTTTGTTGTTGTTGTTTTTCTCTGTAGCTTTGGAGCCTGCCCTGGAACTAGCTCTTATAGACCAGGCTGGCCTTGAACTCACAGAGACCCACCTGCCTCTGCCTCCCAAGTGCTGGGATTAAAGGCGTGCGCCACCACCCCCTGGCTTCTCTCAAATATTCTTGACTTCAAGCACTGTGCTAGGCTGCAACCCATAGGAGGGAGATGAACTGGGAATATGGAACAGCTGTTTGAGAGATGAGTCTACTGCCCCTTTGGCCTGGTCCTAGTTCTCAGCATCTCTAGAGCATCATCTGTCTCTCTCTGGAGTGACTAGATCACTCCCAGCAGTGAGTATAGGTGCTCTTGCTCCAACAGCGTAAGATCTGAAGCCTGGAATGGGACCAAAACTTTATTGAGAACAAGAAACCAGAAATCCTGCCTCTCCAGTGTCAATGCAATCTTCAGTCCTGGCCCAGGGGATAAAACCATCTCCAGACAAAGAGAAACAATCTCAGCTATTAATTTTAACCTGAATGCAAATTTTCCCCCCAACACTCCACTGGCTTTCCCTGTTCATCCCACGGGCAGCTTTTCCTTAGCTCTGGGACATTTGGAAGCACAGCAGGCTGTTGTAAGATATACCCGACTTGAGCTGGGGGTATTAACAGTGGTTGAGTACTTATCTAGCATGCATGAGATGGCCCTGGATTTGACACCAGCATTAAAAGGAAAAGAAAGAAAAAAGAAGAAGAAACAAACCAAAACTAAACAGACAAGCAAACAAAACTCCAAAAGCATCTATCCAATTCATGAAAGTGATATAGTACAGAGAATTCCATTCTAGTAATGCTATTTTCATACAAATTTACAGTGTATCCTGTGGCTAATAAATGTGGCTTATTTCCTACCTCGGTACAGTTTGATCAATTTCTTTGTTTATTTTGGTTTGGTTTTTGAGACAATGTAGCCCTGGCTGTCCTGGAACTTGCTATGGAGACCAGGCAGGCCTTGAAGTCACAGAGATCCACTGGCCTCTGCTTTGAGTACTAGATAAGAAAGATAATAAAGGCATTAAGTCTTCTATTACAAATAATCTACTTCCTCTTCCCAATACTAAGCAATCTCAGCAGTGGTGGCCTGATGGGTAGTGAGTGATAGTCTACAAATCCAGGAAAGGGAGATGGCAGTTCCAGATGATGTGGGAGAGAGATACCAACTCTGTAACGATGCCCCCAGGAAAGCAAGAACACGCAGAACGTGCAGCGCAGGGCTGAGCTGCCCTCCTCACCAATAGGGAATCAATCCTCCACTCAATCTTGTGACCTAACCCGGTAGATGGTGCTGGCTCATGTGAGAACTGAACCCCTAACTTAGGAACATTATACCTCAGTTCCCAAGCACTGGATTTTGGCTCCAGCGCCAATGAATTCAAATAAGAAGCACAAGGCCCCAATATCCGTGAACTGTCTAAGGAAAATTGTAGCATCAAGAGGAAAGCGGAAAGAGAGAAGGAAAAAAACACAAAAGCAATGATCACGCAGCCCAACATGAGAAATAAACAAAAGAGAGAGGGTTCAGAGTGGGCTCCAGCTGCCAGGATTTGAGGATCCTAGCAACGCTGCAGAAGGGCACTGCCTGGCCCAGCAGGGGACCTGGGTACAAGTCCTTTTCCGCAGGGCATCACATTCTCCCCAGTGCTTTTCTTCCCGTGACACAGTATCAGTGCCTACATGAAATGCCATGGGAGAACAGAGTGGGTCCAAGGAGGGCTAGGATGGTCCTCTGTTGTTTTGTTAAGATGGGTCTTGCTACATATCACAGGCTGGCCTTAAATTCATGGTCATTCTCCTGATTCATCCTCTCTAGTGCTAGGATTATAGGTACACCAGCTACCACATCTAGCTTGGAATGGTCTTTCTGATTTAAAAATATTTTTTTTTTTGAATTTTCGAGACAGGGTTTCTCCATAGCTTTTTTGGTTCCTGTCCTGGAACTAGCTCTTGTAGACCAGGCAGGCCTCGAACTCACAGAGATCCGCCTGCCTCTGCCTCCCGAGTGCTGGGATTAAAGGTGTGTGCCACCACTGCCTGGCTCTGATTTAAAATTTTATAAGCAACTTGGAACCCTTCTGCAAACACTGTGGCCAAAGGGGCAGAAATAGTTGTTTTACACTGTTATTTGCCAGAAAGGTTCTTGAATAAATTGAGGCAGAAAATCCAAGTGTTCTAACAAGAGGCCCAGGTGCTATAGAGACTATAAAAACAGCCCCTCTTCTATCCCAACCAAACACAATAGCCCTTCAGGCTAGAAGTAGAAACTGAACCCCTCACCCCACTCTTTTTTTCCAAGCAACTTCTGTCATTAGTTTCCTTCTTTGATCAAAAGGAGGAACTAATTTTTGCACTCAGGATGTTTTCGTGCCACCAACGGCCAAAAAGGGAGGTCACCAATGTAGAGGGAAATTGAGCCAACTTTACATCATAGGCTAAGCCTTTGAGTCACCCTGGGATCTGCTGCTGGACCAGCACCACACGGAGTCTAGGCTTCACATTGGACTGGGGAGAGATACAAAGCAAGAGCCTCCTCTCCTCTGAATTTCCTAGCCCTTTTGCTGTCCAGGAGATGACGATCCTTGCTTGCTATGGCTTCTGCCCCTGGCAGACCCATAGGAACAATTACACTTCAAGGTTACTCATATGCAGCTCTGCTCTGTGCAAATCTAAGCCCTGCTGAAAACTTGGTAAGTCTGCTTTTTCACTTGGTATTTCAAGAGTAAATGAGTTTTTAAAAAAAAGTCTCTGGAGTTTCTAAAAGCACAGGCTTATTGGTACTGATGAGCTCATTAAAAACTTTATAAAAAGTATGCATTTGGCTCTGGGGTATAAGGATATTTCTGTCTGCCCATCTCTGCAAGTTTGACCTTCTGATTATATTTGGCTCATTTAACCCCATTAGCCTGCAAGGTTCCCAAGTCTGGCTAACATCCTCTACCAGTATTTCCCAAAGGATTTCAGCAGGAAAAAACGGTCTTTTCTTCTCTAACTACGCAGCAGTGCCCTCGGTGCTCTTTGTATACTACTGCATCTTGCTAACCCACCGGTCTAACCTGGAAGGAAACTTCTCCAGTCACACATTTATTGGCATCGTTCCAGCAGAGACCATGCCATGAGAAGAATCATGCTAGGTATGGGGGGTGGGGTGGGCGGGGGGGGGCTAACAAAGCAGATGAGAAACTTGAGGATAACAAAAACATATGGCACTAATTGAAGAACTAAGAACTTATTACTCTCTTGCAACAATCGTCAAACTGTAACATCAGAGCAGTTGCTATAGGACTCAGAGAGCCAAAGGTCTGGCAAACTCTTCTCAAACAGAGAGAGGTCATTTCAATGTATAGGAATATTATTTAAAAAAAAAAAAAAGCAAAACCAAGTGAACTGGCATCAGACTTACTGTTTTCACAGCCTAGATCCTTCAGGAAGATGCTGATCCACTAGATGCATGATGGTCAGATGCCACTTAAGTTCTCTAACTGAGAGGAACACCTAGCTAGCTATTGAGCATGTGCAGGAGACCCAGCTGCTTGATCTAGACCTTCCAGGGGTCAGGAATTAGCTCAGATTGTGAGATACTTGCCTGGCATAGGTGCGGCCCTATGTTTGTTTCTGGCTTCTACAGAGGATGAAAAAAAATTTCAGAAAATGGTTTCTGTAAGTCCTTAGATCTGAACCAGTATTATCCAGTTAGCAAACATTTACTGAGCACTTTATGAGGTAGCCATTGAGACTAGATATTAATCACTGGGCTAATGATGGGCTTAAGACAGTCTCTGGCATTTGGGGCAAGAAGTCAGACAACTGAAATAACAAAATAAAATAACAAAGTCACAACCTACTTAAAAACAGGTATTCCTGTAGCTTTTAGTAGAGGAAGTGATTAGGTAGGCCTTTGAAGGAAAAGTACAATTTTGGTAGGACATACTTTTCAGGAAAAAAAAAAAGTTAGAATATAAGGGGAAGATGGTTGTGAGCTGATATGTGGATACTGCGAATTGAACTCAGGACCTCTGGAAAAGCAGTCAGTGCTCTTAACCACTGAGCTACCTCTCCAGTCCCCATTTACTTCATTTTTAAAGGTAGGGTCTCACTGTGTAGCCCTCCCTGCTTTTGTCTTCCAGGTGCCGGACTGACAGGTGTGCAGCAGCATGCCTGACGAGAAGAGGCTATCTGAAGGAGCTACCATCAGTGAGGGCGGAGTGAACGAGAGATGGGATCTGGAAAGGCAGGCTGAGACTAACTCCAGGAAGAAAATAAATAGGCTTCTAGGAGTTGGTAAAAACAAAAACACACTTTGAAGGGATCAGCAGTATGAGAAATGCCTATTCACCCTGGATAGATGATAAGAAGGGCACAGAAGAGACTGCCAGAATCGGTTATAGACTGCGACAGGGACAATAGCTCCAGCTCCTCCAAGACCCCAACACACAAGCAACCTGCTTCGTCAGGAAGAAAGACACAACTCAGCGATGCTAAGTCGCTCTCTTGGCTGTGACTACGATTACCCATATAGCCTGACCTTATAATCTGACAGGCATTCCGCCTACTTGATACATAGTCAAAGAATGCAATGAAGGAGAAAACCACAGAACCACAACTTCAACAAAGTTACCCACTCTCCTCGCTCTGCTGCCCTGAAGTCACTCGTAATAACTGTCTTAGATGTACGACACAATATGCCACGCCTTGAATCTTTCAGCAAGTCACAAAGATAATAAAGAAATAGGAAGCCTACGGAAAGTATGTTGTGCCTCTGAATAAGCTGGTGTATCTTTAATATCAACTAATTTTAGAAACGGGGGCGGGGCATGGGAAGAGAAACTTTTATACCAAACATATTTAGAAAGGCTGTTCTTTTATTACTTTGTTTTGAGACAGGGTCTTGCTATGTAACCAGATGGCCTTGAACTCTGAGATCTTCCTGGCTTAGCCTTCGGAGTCCTGGGATTATAAGTATATGCCATCATGTCTGGTTAGAAAGGTTTCTCTGATGTCTTCTCCTTGATCAAGAAATAGACCTCAAGTCCAAACAATAAACTTACTGCTTATAATTCTGTTTTAACCTACTACCATTCTCTCATGTAAGCATGGATAATGAATGGGAATGAACATGAACTATACCCTTTAGACACCACACCCACTGCTACCTGTGTGAAAGCCCATGTGGCACACACAGAAGCTTTAAGGCAAAGAGCTGAAACATACTCTGTAAAAGTCCTTACGGCAATCTAACTGGGAAGACTATACAAGGTCTAGGGGAGACTGAATCAGAGGCTGTAACTCAGTTTGTGAAATGAAACTATCGCTGCATTGGCTACTCTTATCTTTATAAAGAAACTCTCTGAGACATAAGACATGGTCCCCCAATATCACATCATAATAACCAGGTGACTTTATTATACTGTAATTTACAGCTGACAAAGCTGAGGCCTGATCAGGTCAGAGTGCCAAGGGCCTAGGGAAAATTATCCCAAGAAGTAATAAAAGGTTTTAAGAAAATTCAGTAAGGTTACAGTCTTGGAAAGAAAGGAGTTAGGCAAGAGAAAAGGTTGGGCAATTACAACAAACAGCTCCCTTGGTTACCTTGCATTTAAATGAAAGAGAATGAGTTCTTGACACCATGCATTCCTTCTGGAATGGCTCATTTCATACTATGTGAAGCAGGGGACATGCTAAGTTATTCACAATCAGGGCGTGATGGTATAGACAAAGATTAAAGTATACTTGTTGTTTATACTGGTATTAGAGAGCTAATGTAGTAACTTTAAAACTCCTAACTAAAATACCAATTCTCAGTAGGCAAGTATTGACTATTTCATATGTTATGTTTAACATAAAATGCTTTGGGTTTATCTAATCCAACCTGTGATTCTTTACTAGGGTGATTTTATCCAGCATGGGAACAAGAGCTCATGGCTTTATGAGTGCTAAGTAGGGAATGCCACTGGTTTCTAGTACAGGAAAGGCTGAAGATACAGATAAGAGCCCGCAACAATGATCAGGCTCCAGATGTCAATCAACAGTGCACCTGTCCTCCCATCCCAGCCAAAAGCAGGAGGGCAATGCGTGTAAAATTCACAGTCCAGTCTTTTTTTCTGGCACAACAAATAGATCTTTCACATCCTGGCTTTAAAACAACCCAACAGGGTCCTTTATGATCAGTCAGTCTTTAGGGGGATTTTAAATACCAGATGCTTAAGACCAAACAGTGGGTTACAAAATCTGGCTACCAGGACTCCTTTTCCCAGGCCTCCCTGACTCTGTAAAAGGGAGAACTCTTAGCATGTGAATCTAATACGCTTTCCCAAGAAAGTCTTCTGAAATCGGTGTCCATATGTGCAGTATGGAGAACAGAGTAGGGCTTTTTCGGACAGGTGGTCGCCATCTACAGGACATAAGCTACTCATGTCCTCATAACACAAATATTTTATTTTAGAAATACCCAAGCAACTTGCTAACACGAAAGGCTCCTAATACTTAGAACTGGTGACAACCCAGTCACGATGATGGGCAGCCTCCCAAATCTTTGTGGGGTTTTGTTTTAATTTGAGACAGGTTTTCACTCACTACACAACAGTAGCTGGCCTGGAATCACTCTGTTGGCCAGACTGCCGTCAACTCACAGAGATCTACCTGTCTCTGCCTCCCAAGTTCTGCTATTAAAGGCATGTACCAGCTGACTCCCCAGAATTTTTGTTACTACTTTCCCTTGTCTAATTCTAGTAAAATTATCAACCATAGTTTGAAGATGATTATTGAGCACTGCAAACTTTTGATCATTTAATGGTAGTCTTTGCAAATATCACTTCTTTCACTTTAAGGAGAAAAATCAGACAACTGAAAACAAACATTCTGATGAAGAAGTCTGAGAAACATATGCATTCAGAATGAGGCGGGCTGAAGGTATTCAAAACATACACATGAAAGGTAGTTCAAAGTGGAGGTGAGACAGCCTTTATGCACCCTGTCTACCACACCATATCTATATAAGTACATATATATTACATATACATACACATATGTGGATGGGTGGGGTCACCGCTTAACTTTGGATTGGATCTGACAGCTGTAGCTGTCAAACCCACCTGCAGGATCCCGCCTAAGCACCTCACTATGAAATTCTGGGTGCAAGAAGCAAAGCTGAGAGGATACTGCGGAGACAATGGGGGTAACCAGGTACCAGGTGAGCACCCAACCGTACAGCAGGGGGCTCCCTACCATTCCTAGGCTGGCTGACCCCACCTCCCCAGCAGCACGCTGTCACTTTTGGCCTGGAAGAAGGTAATGAAGGCATGGGGGAGTCGCCCACGGGCGGGACTCGTGGGTGAACCCCAGGCTTCAGACTGCAGTTGACAAGAGCCTGTCATAGGCCTCGCTGGAGTTGGGCCCTGAAAAACCTCCGCTCCCCGCCCGTCCCACACCCGACTGACTCCAGACGCGGACTGACGTCGCGGGCATGGGGAGATCCCAGGGAAACGACTCACCGATCTGCCCAATGAACTCGATCTTGATGCCCTGGTGCTCTAGTCGCTTGTTGGGGTTCTTCAGAGATAAGCTCACCTTCCCCGAGACGGTCTCCCCATCGTAGAAGAGGAAATATTTCTCCTTCTTCCCGTCTTCTGTCTTGTGCTCTGCTCTCTTCCTACTTTCCGCATCATTCAGCAAGATTTCCACCTCCACGCTCTGCCCGAAGCCGAAGAAGCTCATCTCCCCGCCTGACCGTGCCGGTGCCGGCACAGACTGCTCCCTCCCTCCAAGGTGCGGGCTGCCTGCGGGGAAGGCAGGCCGGAGGGCCGGCTGCGGGAACGCGCAGGACGCCGCACCGCAGCCCCCTGCACGGTTGAGAGGGGCGGTGGGCGGTCACCGACGGCCTGCGCCCCTGGGGAGGGGCAGGGCCGAGGAAGGCAGGCGGTTGCGGGCTGCGGCGCCCGAAGCAGCGATGCACCCAGAGGCCACGCACCGTACCTCCCCAATTCCCGACGGTGCAGCGGCGAGGGCCCAGGAACACAGGAGCACAGGCGCAAGCACGCGTTCCGTCGCCCACCGGGTGGGGTCCAGCGCTCAGCCGCGCACCGAACTGCCTAGACTCCTGCGGTGCAACGCACCGAAGTGCTACGGCGGCGCCGGGCGGGGGAGGGGGCAGGAGAACTCCGGCCCGGATGCGAAGGAGATGCCACGCGCAGGCGCACGTCTCCTCCTCACCCTCCTAACTCCCCCGCCTCCCAGGCCACCAGGAGGTGCGCTCATCTGCGCCTGTGCAGCGCCAAAGGGCGGCTGGTCTCTCCCTTAATGAAGATGGCGGCCCTGGCCTCTTTCCAGTAGCACTTCGGGCCCAGATTTTCCGTAAAATCCTAGCACTGCAGGTGCGTCCTTGTAATACCTTTGGTTGCATTTTCTTCATTTCTTAGCCCTATAAACGCCGGGATACTCTTCACATTTGAATATGAACAACGTTTGCGTGCTGTCTGACGGGTGAGGTACGTTTGACACAGACGCCAAGTGTCACTCGGCAGGGGCAAAGGTGACTGCTATTACAGGAAGTGCCCTATCTCCACAGGCCTCTAGGTTTCCTGCCGTGTAAGAAGGGCAATACGGTAACAAAAAACGCTATTGGTGTTCTGCCTGCCACCTTGCACTGGAACGCTAAGGGAAAGTCTCCACGAGCCATGTTTGGCTTCCAGTCCTGCCCCACCCATTTTTGCGCACGCCGTGGACGGCCCAGACCATTGGCTTCTGTTACGAACGCGACCCGGCGCGGCGATTGGTCGATTGTAAATCCGGAACGCTGTGACTGGTCCGCAGAAACGTCTCGGAGCGCGCGCGGGAGCAGATGCGAGCCGGTACTTCCATGGTCACGATGGCGCTCCAGGACCTCGGGAGAGATCTGCAGCCTTGGTGTCCGCTGGATCTCAGCCTCGGTGAGATCAGACTCGCAGGCGCGAGTCCTGCATTCAGGGCTTGGGGTGCTTTGCAGTGCCTGAGGTGTCTCAGCCCGCGGCCCGGTCCGGGTGGCGGTGGGGGAAGGGGAGGCTGAGTCTCTGCAGTGACCGTGAGTCCCAGGATTGTGACAGTCTCGCCCGGGTGGTGGCCTGTCACACGTACGTGGGATCTCAGTCCAAACGATGAACTGTTTAAAAGAGAGCTAAACCGTTCTAGCGTGCGGGAGGCCGAGTTGGAGGATTGACAGGCGTTCAAGACCCATCGGTATGGGCTACAAAGGGAGTGTCGCAAGAACAAAACAAAACAGCAGCAACCTAAAAAGCTAGTAGTAGGCCTCTCCTGATGCTGTCGCTTCTGTTTTCTCCATCTGTCACCCTAATCCTGCCAAGTCTTCCTGGACTTAACTATTTCCATTTCCAGGAGGTTTTTATACAGCCAATCTCTTTATTCAGACTAATTTTGTTTTCTTAAAATTTGTGATCATATTGTTCAACTAGGTGGTTCACATGCAGACCTCGTTAGTTGTCCAAATGAAGTCGAGATTCCAAAAGCCAGCCAATTGCACCAGCTAAATCACAAACTTGGAAGTTCCGTTTTCATGCCCACTGGCCCTTGTTGTCCCTACATCCAAGCTCCAGCCCTAAGATGGGTCCTAGTCCTCATAACCAGCCAAGGCAATTGCAGGATAATCCTAACTGCTATCTGACACCTGCTCACCCCGTGTTATCCCTTCTTGACGGGTACCGGTTTGCCTGGGTCAGATCTTTCGGTCCTTCCCATTTGTTTCCTAAATAGATGACCATATCATTGGCCCACCGTGGCAGGGGAGTTGTGGAAGTCTGTTCTGCAGGCGTGACGTGACCCAGTCTGCTATCTTGACATCAGAGTAGTTGTGATTATCCATAGGCGATCTGGATAATTGTCTCCAGTGGAAAGGGAGGAGGGTATCTGTAGACTCCTAGTGGAAGTTCCAGCCACTCCCCTTTTGCCCTTCCCAGCTTAATACAACCCTGACACAGCTGTCTGCGGTCCTGAACAAGAGGGTGTGTGCTAGGATGTGCAGGAGGTGGGGTAGCAATGCAGAGCTGTAGCATTTGCTTGGGCCACTGTGGGGCTTTTTATTTTTTAATTTATTAAAGATTTCTGTCTCTTCCCCACTGCCGCCTCACCTTTCCCTTCCCCTCCCCCAATCAAGTCCCCCTCCCTCATCAGCCCAAAGAGCAATCAGGGTTCCCTGCCCTGTGGGAAGTCCAAGGACCACCCACCTCCATCCAGGTCTAGTAAGGTGAGCATCCAAACTGCCTAGGCTCCCACAAAGCCAGTACGTGCAGTAGGATCAAAAACCCATTGCCATTGTTCTTGAG